CTCCTCCAGTGTTTCTTCAACTTTTTCCTTTTCCACTGGTTTCAAAGTGATTTCCTCCTTTGATTCTTCGTCTTTAGGAAGTTTTTTAACAGGCTTCAATACAATTTTCTCTGGTTTTGTCTCTTCGGGTTTGTCCATCTTCTTCACTGGCTTCAATCGGATCTCCTCAGGTGTTTCTTCAACTTTTTCCTTTTCTACTGGTTTCAAAGTGATTTTCTCCTTTGATTCTTCATCTTTAGGAAGTTTTCCAACAGGTTTCAATACAATTTTGTCTGGTTTTGGCTCTTCGGGTTTGTCCATCTTCTTCAATGGCATCAATCGGATCTCCTCCGGTGTTTCTTCAACTTTTTCCTTTTCCACTGGTTTCAAAGTGATTTCCTCCTTTGATTCTTCGTCTTTAGGAAGTTTTCTAACAGGCTTCAATACAATTTTCTCTAGTTTCGGCTCTTCGGATTTGTCCATCTTCTTCACTGGCTTCAATCGGATCTCCTCCGGTGTTTCTTCAACTTTTTCCTTTTCCACTGGTTTCAAAGTGATTTCCTTCTTTGATTCTTCGTCTTTAGGAAGTTTTCTAACAGGCTTTAATACAATTTTCTCTAGTTTCGGCTCTTCGGATTTGTCCATCTTCTTCACTGGCTTCAGTCGGATCTCCTCCGGTGTTTCTTCAATTTTTTCCTTTCCCACTGGTCTCAAACTAATGCTTTCCTTTGATTCTTCATCTTTAGAAAGCTTTCTAACAGGTTTCAATACAATTTCCTCTGGTTTCAACTCTTCGGGTTTGTCCATCTTCTTCACTGGCTTCAATCGGATTTCCTCCGGTGTTTCTTCAACTTTTTCCTTTTCCACTGGTTTCAAAGTGATTTGCTTCCTTGATTCTTCGTCTTTAGGAAGTTTTCTAACAGGCTTCAATACAATTTTCTCTAGTTTCGGCTCTTCGGGTTTGTCCATCTTTTTCACTGGCTTCAATCGGATCTCCTCCGGTGTTTCTTCAACTTTTTCCTTTTCCACTGGTTCCAAAGTGATTTCTTCTTTCGATTCTTCGTCTTTAGGAAGTTTTCTAACAGGTTTCAATACAATTTTCTCTGGTTTCTGCTCTTCAGATTTGTCCATCTTCTTCACTGGCTTCAATCGGATCTCCTCCGGTGTTTCTTCAACTTTTTTCTTTTCCACTGGTTTCAAAGTGATTTCCTCCTTTGATTCTTCGTCTTTAGGAAGTTTTCTAACAGGTTTCAATACAATTTTCTCTGGTTTCTGCTCTTCAGATTTGTCCATCTTCTTCACTGGCTTTAATCGGATCTGCTGCGGTTTCTCTTCAACTTTTTCCTTTTGTAATGGTTTCAAAGTGATTTCATGTTTTGATTCTTCCTCTTTTGGAAGTTTTCTGACATGTTTCAATATTACTTCCTCAGATTGTTCTTCCTCTGGTTTTATTATTTTCTTAGTAGATTTTAATTCTAAATCTTCGGATTTCTGTTCAGTTGGTGTTAATTTCTTTGCACGTCTCCATGGTACATCTATTTTCTTGCTAAATATGTCTCTATTAATGGCTTCACCGATTTTTTCAGGTGAAGCTTCTGATTTGGGTGTTTCCTTTGTCACTGGTGTATGCGTGATATCTTCTGACACTTCTTTTTCTTTAAGTAATCGTTTTGCTGGATGTAGTGTAATTTCTTGTATCGATTTTTGCTCTTCAGGATTTTCGTGCCATTTTGTCGGTTTCAGTACAACAGATGTGAAATCTTCAATTTGAGGTTTTTCTTTAATAGTTTTCGTTGTTTTACTTTTTTTAGATTTTTGCCATGTTACTTCGGATGGTTCTTTAATGTCAAATGTTGTTTTATCAGATTCGATTTCCGAAGTCGTTTTTTGAATTGAAGATTTTAATTTACGGCGCCATGGAACTTCGGAAATTTCCGTAGGTTCATCTTCTTCCAGTTTAACTTCAAGTTTAATTATTTGAGATGTTTTTGTTTCCTCAATTTCTTTTTTTTCTTTTGCTTTTTTACCTCTAACCCATGGTACCTCTTCTTTTTTAGATTTTTCAATTATATTGTCAGTTCTATCGATGTTAAGGATTGTAGTGTCTTCCTTTTCCATATATGGTATACTTTTAGATTTTTTCTCACTGTTCACTTTTTTAATAGACTCAACGTCTTTGGCCATTTCTATAATTATTTTATCTTCTTCTTCATGATATGGTACGTTTTTTTGCTGTTTGACTCCAGTCAAATCTATACCTTTTATTTTGATGTGTTTCAAATCTACTTTCTCTAATTCTTTCTTTAATATTACTTTGTCTGACCTTGATGTTGGCTTTAATGATACTTCCTCAAGAGTTTCGTTATATACTTCTTTCTGTTCCGGTTTTGTCCTTTTTAAGGTTATTTTTTCTTCCATCCATGTCTTTGACTGTGGCACTTCCTCTTGCTTCTTTATCTTTTTATGAATATTGGTTTCCTGCTCTGACATAACTTTAAGCAAAGTAGTATCTTCTTTCTCTTTATATACCGTAATGTCTTCATCGTTATGTTTTTCTTTTCGTACTAGCTTTTTTCTTGTATCTGATTTTAACTTAATATCATCGTACATCTCAGTTGAAATTTGAAGTAATGTAGTATCTTCTTGTTCAACGTATTCAGCACTTTTACCGATTTCTCTAATATTTTCCTTTTCTTTCATGACAGGTTTCAAATTTATTTTTTCCAAATCTGATTTTGGAGATATTGATTTAATAAACTTAGATGGCTTTAATTTTACCGTTTCTATCATTTCTTTTTCAGTTTCTTTTTGCATAGGTTTAGATTTTTTCAAAATAATTTTTTCTTCTGTCCATGGTTTTGTCTTATCTTCCTTATCTATGATTGTTTTATCCACGTCTTTGCTTGCTCTTCTCTCTTTTTTGTCTGTAGTGACATCAATTCGCGTAATTATTGAAATTGCTTCAACTTCTTCTTTTGAAATTGGTTTTAGATTTGCCTTATCTAATGTTGATTCCACAAGATCTTTCTTTACTATTTGCGAAGGTTTCAATGAAACGGTTTCGAGAATTTCCTTGGGTATTTCCTTTCTTTCCGGTTTTGCCTTTTTCAAAGCGATTCTTTCCTCCGTCCAAGGTTTGGATTGTTCTTCCTTCTCTGTGATAGACTTTTCTTTTTTTAATTTTTGCATTTCTGCGTCCTTTACAATTGTAAGCAAAGAAGTGTCCTCTTGTTCAAGAAAATTTATTTTTTCTACGTCCAATTCGGAAGTTATTTTCGTCTTTGGTGTCATTTTCTTTAAAACAATTTGTTCCTCCGACCATGATCTTGGTTTCTCCTGTTTCTCTTTTTTCGACAAAGTTTCATCTAAACGACGTGATGTTTTTGACACAGTATTATCCTCTTGCTCCTTATAAAGTTCAGTCGTAATATTGTCGCTAGCATATTCTTCGGTTGTTATAATTTTATCTGTTGCCTCCTTAGGTACGGATTTCAACTTAATTGTTTCTATATTAAATCCGTGGATGTCTTTTTTTTCAATCTTCGTCGGTCGTAACTCAACTTCTTCTAACCTTTCTGTCGTTACATCCTTGGTAACCTTGGGAGTTTTTTTCAAAATTACTTCTTCTTCGGTCCATGGTTTTATTTGACTCTCGAAAGCTTGGAGCTTATCCAGTGAAGAATCTCTTGATTGTACTTTCCGCCATGGAAGTGAATCATAAGTTCGAGGTAGGGATAGAACACGTCCTCTTCGCCAAGGCAACGATTCATCAGCAGGTTGAAGTTGTACTTCAAATGGTGAATCATTTTCGTTGAGAGGTAAAGATCTCAGAATTACATTTTCCTTCAAATCTTGATGAAGTTTCGCATCTATTTCGACACTGGCACCCGTCTCCGCGGGAACCGCGTAATAGGCTTCTTTTCTCTCTGCAAGTTATGCAAAATTGTTTTAAATAGATATGAACGTTTTTTAATATTTGTTTCACATCATATGTATTAAAATTAAATTAAGAGAAAGTTTTATTTACACCATGATATTAAATTAAGTTAAGGAAAAATCCATTTATAAATTCATGATAATTTATCAATCCTTTAACATCATAAAATTAATTATATAAATATTTTATAATCACTGAAAAACAAGGAATGGATTTTGACTGAATTAACTTTTCAAGATAGAGAAATCAAAATATTTTGCTAGATAACCAATCTTGAAAAAGTGAATTATTTGTGAGTTATTAATACACAATATATGATTCGTAAAAGATTGTATTTAACTGAACATCTATTTTTTTGTGATATCTGCCTTTTTATGGACAAATATCATCAGCAATAAAAACATTCGTTGTTTTGTGATAGTTGCGACTATTAATGAAATAAGAAGTTGTAGAAGAGCATAAACCTTTTAATTACATTTTGTTAACAAAGAACATTAAACTTAACACACATACACACTCATATATTTGTATAGATATAGATTTATATGAAAGTTACTTAAAGTGACAATATTAGGAAACAAAGTTTAGTAACGACGTCAGTCAAACATGTTAACAATTGTATGTAGAATATAAACGTTATAAAATGTCTATAGCAAAATATAAAACGCATGGATCTACAACATTCTTTAAGTAATTTTTAAATAGTCTAAAGAGCTTGTCCTTTGTGACTTGACTACGTGGGAATTTCTTCTCCGAAATGCAATAAAATGCAATACTATTTCGACGTTATGATGTTGCAGCGATATCATTTTTTTTTAATCTATATGATATATACGAGGAAATATTTTGGAAGATATATCAAGAAGTTACGAATAATAGATATTTTATTAAATATAATCGCGCGAGTCGAAGCGTTCGCTTGTAGCTTTGTAATCCGTAAAATTCGCGTTGTTCATGAGTTTCTCTAAAGTAGTCTCCCGCGGAGTAACTCGGTGGGGATCCTTGACGTATAAGATGCACGTCCCTATTTCATGCTACATCTAGTCGTAATAGTAATCAGTTGGAAGTCGAAGACGAAGGAACGAAGGAAAACTGGGCAAAATCGTCGTCTCCCTTCTCACAGTGATACCATAGTGATTGTTCAGTGAAGTGAATCAGAAATGATATTTGAAAGAAAGAGATCATCGACAAGTACATCTTCGTTATCTCTAGAAATTTCTTTCTTTCATGTGATTAATCGAAATGAAGTTATATTCGAACTGGATAATCCATTTTGCTGTTGTGAAGTAATACATTTAAAATATTTACACAAATCGTGCTATATCGTACAGTGAACAATTTATACACATGTTCAATAATTTATACACATGTGCATACAGTTGTCAAGCAAATATCTCATATGCACAGAAATATTTAGTATTTTGTGTTCATATAATCTGTCTTTTAACGTATATTTTAATGCCGTTTCCAAAATATACAAACAAAAAAGCGCTTTTCTTATTCGTCTCTTTCTCACCCATTTAGTTAAAATGTGTGTGAAGTTATTATTTAATTATTGACTTGTGATATAAGAGATTACTGAGAAAGCTATGATATTTCATTTTGGAAAAACGGTTATCAATCTGTAGTTTAATATTATAATCGGAAGTTTGAAAAACTATACTTATATATGAGTGAATGCAGACGTAGATAAAAGTGAGTGAATATAAGAACAGGGATCTACCATTTTCTGCACAATAACAGTTTATTAGGCGAATTGTAAAATTGGATTTTCAAAATAAAAAAGAGATAGACAGAGATACATATTTGCTTTTACTTCTATACATCTTGTCCTATAAATTTTATGATTATATGTTTATACACACATATATATATGCGCGCGCGCGCGTGTGTGTGTGTGTGTGTGTGTGTGTGCGTGCGTGCGTGCGTGCGCGCGCGCATTTAAGTACGTGACTATTTTCATTGTTCAATAAACTTATATTAATTTAAAAAATTAAATTTTATATAAATATTTTTCAAAAAGTGTGTTATATAATTAAATTAATACATATAAATTGCTACATGTCATATTCTCAGTTTATGGCGCTGTACTATTTAATTGTAAATAAATGTTTTATTTTTTGTTTCAATTTCACAGATAAATCGAAAAACTTCAAATGAATAACAAAGGATTCTTTTGATTCAAGCTTAATTTTTATTTCGATAATTATTTAATAGAATTCTATTACCAAATTGTGCAAGAACAATTGAAGAATTTGATCTATTATTGATTTATATTTTTTCCATAAAATATTTCGATTGCATTAATAATAAATACGATTGCATTGTAATAGACACCATTAACAGTTTGTTGTATTAGACATTTGCAACGTAGTCTGTTAGTATATCTTGAAGTTGCTGATTTACTAAAAATAATTTTTACTCGTTTTGTAGAGTACGCTGACACGCTCTTCTCCGTATTATTCCTGGCATGACTGAATCACTAGCAGCTGGCTCGAGACGGAGCCAAAATAGTCAACTACCTCTGCCAACTTTCTTCGAAATTACTGTGTTGACGAAGCATCAAACGGAGGTGGCGATTTAGAATCAAAGATATAAATATGGACCACAGAAAAGAATTTCTTCTTGATGAATCAGATGTCCATTTGTTCTCTTGGAAAGTACTGTCGTTCCATCTTCAAGGTCGTTTAAAATTCATTAAGAATCACATGTATTTTTTTAATGCACATTGTCTGTGAATCATGTTCAGGACACGGAGAATAGACCGTGCAGTTTGAGAATATCTCTTCACATTTCCAAATAATTTCAAGATAGTTAAAAATGGAAATTGAAGTTTTATGAAATATATTTGTTTGATTCGATATTTAACATTTCTATCTATTTCAATATCTGAATAAATATCTAACGACTCGCTGGTCACAAAGAATTAATATTTAAAATTATTTATGTCGAATTTAAAAAATATATGTGTATATATGTATATATGTATACATATATATATAATGTAAGTTTGTAAATAATAAGATTTTAGCAATACATGTAATACGCTGCAATATATTTACAGTTTAAAGTTTTTGGAAGCATACATCTGCAAGCACGTGATGCATTTTAAGATACACATAAAATTTATTATTATAATATAATGTATAATATAATTATAATGAATAATAAATTATTACAAATTTTTAATTTTATTAAGTAATAGTAAAAAGCAAAAATATTTAAAATATGAAGTAGACTAATAATAGATTATATATCTGTTTTTTAAAAATAGATTTTATAAGCACAATTTAAAGCAACGTGGTCGACGAATCTTTGCGGAGCTCTGAGCCAGCGGCCAAATATAGCCAGGTAATGTAATACACATCACGTGCTCAAAAATAACCTAAGAAAAGGGCCTTGCTTGATGTGCACACGGCACTGCATTTGCTTTTCACTTGAAATGTTTTTTGCACGAAAAAGCTAATATAAATTATTATTATTATATATATGTATATATATATACATTATGTATTAATTACTGTATATGAGTATAGTGCTTCGGTAATATTTAATCAAGGATAAATTGGAAATTTTTGTTCTATTGTGAAACTTTCCTTTCAATTATTTGTTCCTTAAAATCCCGAGAAAAAATGTTATATACATGGACATATTTTATATACAATTATAAATAATTGTATATTAATAAAATATGTCAATTTTTTACATAATTATATAAATTTTACATATGTTTTACATCATATTGAACTGGAAACTACAATTGCTTCAAAGATTTTTCTATTGAGGATCACGTTAAAATCGTTCACGTTAAAATCATTCACGATAGAGATTAATAATTGAGACATATTAATAATTGAGGCGATGATTGTCGAAACGACAACAAACGAGACTTGGACATATTTAGAACATTTGGTTTTATTGCGACTTTCATTGTACAATAATAAATAATTGATTAGTAGGACGTTGGACGATATTTTTATGTGTCATTGTAAATTCTTTAATAAATGAATATGTATATATATATATATATACATACATATATGTATAATCGTAAAGTGTGGGCGTACATATACCATATAGTGAGAAAACTGTGTAATATGTGTATGTAAATATATATATATTTTTTACGATATACTTTTTATAATGAACATCAAAATTATACAGCGAACGAGTAAACGAGTTACGTATATTCAACTCAGCTGCATTGCTATTTTTCTTTTGTTTTTATCCATATTGATTAACATCGGGCAAAATTCCAAATTTTGAGTCTACTTATAAAGTTATAGTATTCTTTGCGAAAAGGCTGCGAACATGATTTTTATCCTAAGAAACAAATCAAGATATTGGCAATACAAGTGGACAACGACGTTTCACTCCATCAATCGTCTACATTGCACTGATCTTAAAAAATAATCGCGCTTACTCCGACCGATTACATTACAAACAGTTTCGATTTTTATTTTTATTTTACTTTTACTTTTACAGCACCTCAATTTCAATATTACCTTCGTGACTTTCTTACTTAAGTGTCTTGATATTTTTGAGTATTTATTTTTTGCGCGCGAAATTTGTAGTTTTATAATGCAACCTGAATAAGCTCCTTAATAATAACTTATTGTTATTAACTATTCCTCGTTTCACTCGCTCAACTATTCTCAAAATATGATAATAATTAGTACACAAACTCTCCGGGCGCGCACGTCATTTTTAATTACAGGAGATCTGGGACGTTTCTTCGTTATCCAACCAGAAGCTACCACAGCTAAGGCTATCTTCGTCTTCAGGAATCATAAGACGAAGATAGTCTTAGCCGTTGCTTCTGGTTGCATAACGAAAAAACGCCACTGTTTGAGATGGAAGTTGAGAAATCTAGCTAGGTCGGTAGGTTACGTTCTTTCAAGGAAGGTAACAATAAAGCACAAAAGTAAAAATACGGGTGGATATTTACGGCGAATCGCGCTGCGCGGAGACGTTGTAAGATTTTGAGACGATGCGATGTAAAGACGTTAGTCGCAATAAACACATTAGACAGAAATTAATGTATACATTAGCAATGATCAATTGCGATGGTGTAAAATTTTTTAATTCAATGATCTTTTTACATCAACATCCGTTTTATATTTATTTTGCTATATCATGCGCCATTGAAAAGCAACTAATTCTTTTGAAATCTTGAAAATGATAATCTATAATTCCCACGAGATTATTACCAATTTAATCAATGTACAGCAAGAAGTACAAACAAACTGAAAAAATTAGAATATAATCTTTTCCAAGATTTAATAAACAATTCACTATTATTATTAATTTGTTAATTGATTTGTCATGCTACTGTCTCGATTATACGTCTCCGTTAAGTATACGTCTCGAGTATTTGTCTCCGGCAGTTCTTGGAGTATAATATAAGAACAATCGTGTGTCATGTTAGCAATCGATTCTATATCTTTTATTCAGTTCTTACTTTTGACGATGAGTTTGGCAGATGTTTCTACGGTACCGGCTGAGGTTGTAGCGCGGCAAGTGAAGGTGCCAGTATCCTCCTCGTAGGTAGTTGCTATCAGTAGCACCGCATTGTTCCCTTCATAAATCATCTGAAAATGATATGCCATGTTTTCCCTGAATATCACGTCTAAACATGAAATTCCCTTCGATGTTTCATGAAAGAATAATGGCAAAATATTTACCTGAAAGTCTGGTGATTGTGGGATTAAGGCACCCTCTCGATACCACTGAATCGTTGGCTTAGGCTTTGCCGGACTCACTTGAGTTTTAAATTGAGCTGGTTGTCCCTCTATCACTATTTGATCCTTCAAAGGAGTCAATTTTGCCAGGACATCAGTTGTGTCGGGCGCTAATTGAAAATGCAGAAAAGTCGTTAATGTCGTTAATAAAAAATTTAGAAAGATCGAATTTGAACTTTTTATTTCTTTAAATTTATTTTATGGCGTTGAGAAAAAATTTTAAAAAATATTGAATTTGAATTTTTTTTGTCTTACCGAGAACTCTGAGATTGGCAGACGTTGTGACCTCACCAGCAGGGTTTATAGCAATACATTTATAAACACCTTCATCTTCGGGAAAGGCTTCAGAAATCCTCAAAGTACAGAAATCGCCTTCTTTTTGCATTTGAAAATACTTCGACGGCTTGATTACCTACACAAATAATGTAAGCATTCGCGAATGAAATTATTCGAAAAATGCATTGTGTAAAAGTTATTTTATTGTAGCTATTATTATATACCTTATCAGCTTTCTTCCACTGTATGGTGGGAATAGGTTTTCCTGCGATTCTACAGGCGAAAGCGACTGAAGTTCCTTCCTTAATAGTTTGATCTCTTAATGGCTCCAGAACAGTTGGCGCTTTTTCTACTGTTGGCGTTGTAGGTTTTGCGACCTTTGTTGGAGATTGAGGTCCGCGAACAGTACATTCCGCTTCGCAACGCGCTTCTCCAGCACTGTTAATCGCAACACATTCATATTTGCCAATATCCTCTGGTACTGTCTCCAGAATCAAAAGTGTATAAATATTGTCTTCTTCCAAAGTTTTATAACGGATATCCGCTATTATCTTTTTGCCGTTCTATAATAAAAAAGATTCAAACGTAAATTAATTTAAATTTTCTATTTACTATGCACTATGTATAAAATCAATCGAACCGGTAAGTTTATAGCACACATATGTATTTTACCTTGAGCCAATAAACATCCAGAGGTTTAGTGCCGGTAATTTTGGCGTCGAATCTAGCGAGTTGTCCGGTAGCAACAGAAGCGGATTGGATTGTGGATAAGAAACTGGGTGGTACCGCACCACCTCGTCCTGGCTGCCTTCTGCGTTCCTCTACGACTAAATTGGCACTACATTTGGCTTTTCCTCCTCTATTCTCAGCGATAACAGAAAAGACACCAGAGTCTTCCATAAAAACTTGTCTGATAATTAATACCGATTTGGTGCTGAAGGTATAAATTTGAAGATCAGCTGAGTTTTGTATAGGAAAATCTTCGCGATACCATTTGATAGCTGGTAGTGGATCGCCATCAAATTCAACTTCAAACTTGGCTTGTTCTTGCTCAAATGCTCTACAAGGTTGAATCTTCTTCGTGAAAACAGGCGGTTTGGCAGGTTTGACTTGACCTTGCACCATTCGCTCTTGTGTTTTCGCTTTATGTTCTACTTCTGTTGTCTCCGTTGCTGTAATTTTTCTCGTTATTTCTACGTCACCCTTGACTTCTTTTTGTGTTTGTTTTTGTTTCGCAATATGAACTTCGCGACCATGAACTGTGGATTCAGACGGTTCCGGAGGATATTTTCCCGTGGCTTTAACGCGTTCTGTATCTATATCCACTTCGGTAACAAATGGTTTTTTTACATATTTCGGTGGTGGTTGTATAGGTTCTTCTTGCGGTTGTTCCTCTCTAGTAATAAGAAGTTACCAAATATTATCACCAAATATTTAAAAATAGGTTGCCAATATTATCAGATATTTGTTATAATACTTACAAACTTTCTTCATACTTTTGAGCCATTCCCTTTGCTAAGGAATGTGCAACGACTTTATCGCCAGGAATAGCAAACTGATGCGAAGTTTCTCTTAATCTGGTCTCTTTGAGCACTTGTTCCTCTTCAAGATTCATCAACTTATTGTAATAATCTTCATTTTTCTTACTCTTGACGGATTTCTGCCACTCGGTTTCAGGCTCTTTAATAACTTTAGGACCAAGATGCTCTGTGGCAATCTCGATTCCTTGGGAAACGCTTTGATGACGTTCGTCGAACACACGCTCCAATTCTGTGTTTTGCCGCTCGGTCTGGTACTGTGTTAGTCCATAATCGTACCAGGCTAAAGAAACAATACATGATATCTATGTGTTTTCGTACATCTCATACTTCTCATAAAGAAGAACGCGTATGAACATATCATGGATTGGTTTAATTTCGGTCAATCAAATCAAACAAATGCATTGTCCTTCAGTGAGACGTTTTTGCAGGTATTATATAGCATTTGCATACATTTTCCTTTGAAAATGTAATGAATCATTTACATTATAATTTACTACAAAATCGGATTTAGATACCTCACTGAAGCAACGTTGCGTTTCCCTTAATCAAGAAACAAAAATATCTAATCTGAAACCACAATACCTAAGACACAGTACGTGAACGACGATACAACACATATCGACGACACCTAGATGACAGATAATAGGAATCGAGCTGGATATGGAAAATTCGCATGGTTAACACATATCTGAAATTATTTTGCTTTTACATATTATCAAAAATATTGTTAGATTAAATTATTTATTTCCTATGAACGTGCTCTCCTTCGTATTGTGAGAAGGTTTTCTTTCTATTTAAAGAGAACAAATATTCTGCTGAATCACGAAGTTTTTTCGTTTGATTAACTAAGTAATTTTACGTAAATTATCGAACTTCACTTTTTTTTCGAATTAGTTTTAATATATGTACAACCGCTCGCTACTTTTCGTGCGAGGCAAAAGGATGGGTAATATAGTAAACGCATATCCAAAAAGAAAAAAGAAGGAAAGGAAAAACAAAAATGCAAGAAAAAAGACAAATTAAACACATAATAGTAATTAAGATCAAATTATATTGATTGCGCAATATTGATGAGAGATACGGAAATCTACTCGATATTTGCACTTTTTATAAACAATACCTGACATGAATTATTTTATATAACAGTAAGGGAACAAAAAGTATCGGATGCCTATAGTGCAATGAATAAGAATAAATATTAAATAAGTTAAATGGTCCACTCCACCTTTCCCTCCCTGCCTGGGGGCGTTCGACTTTCTACGCCAAGCAAGATCCACCTTTATGAAAAGTTGTCTCTAGACAGGGAGGGAGGTGAGGTCGACTTCGCTTCGAATGAAACGCCTTTACAAAATCACAAATTTTCTGCTTTAAAAACAAATTCTTTGCTTTATAAACAAAAATTATGTAAGAAAATAATGTTTTCAAAGAAAATTTTTGTTTATTTTAAAGCAGAGAGTTTTTATTTTATAGCAGAACTTTTTTTGTTAAAAACTTTTACGAAGAACGAGCTAAAACCTGTTGAAGGTTACTCAAGGTCATGACCTTGACTATACATGTCAAGGTTAAGGTTATCGGGGCAGATTTCCCCATTGGCATATTTACCTTAAATAAATATTTTAAATACAGATTAAGAGTTAAGTATAAATGTAAGAAACAAATAAATTGAGATTAAATGAAGTAACACACACTGAGAGAAAACAAAATAGTTCCAGCAACTATAAATTTGGCAACTTTTGCAATTGAAGTACCTGTAACTAGTTTTACAAAGTAATAGAAACTAAAGTAGTGCTGAATATTATAAAAATATAATCACGGTAACAAATTGTATGCACTATTAATTAGTAGTGAAGTAGTGACTCAACTACATTGAGTAGTTACTT